ATCTGGTCTCAGACTTTTCTAGGTCAAGAAGGACCATGACAGACTTCTGTAGCACATTGCACTACCTCATAGACTAACAGCAGAAGCAAAGCGCTGACACTGTAAGCAGTAAGAAGCATTTTTAATTATGCTGTCAGGATACTAAAAAGCAAGTTCCCTGTTCAACCTATGCTATAGATAACCTTCCTCATGCAATATTCACAGCAGACTTCTATCACATTATTAGCAATTTCTTAGCATCAGAAATAATGCTGGTGACACTTGTCACCTAATCCTTTCATTACAAGTTAGAGTAGGATCAGCAGTAGGAAGAAGTTGTATTTCTCTGAAGTTATCTCCATAGAAATGGCTGATTTAATCCTAACCTTCAGTTTATCAGTTCATAACTTTGTCCTTTGCAAAAAGGAACTACTTATAGAGAATGATACATGATAGTCTCTATTAATATTTTCATCCTTTGACACATTGCATATCCCCACTGGAATAAAATAATTAGAAACACAAGTGCAAATTTGCTGTAGCAGCCGAAATATTCTGAATACTCAGAGTCCTGTATTAAGCAGCTAGCTTGGGACTTCTGTGCCTTGGCTTTTCTCCCTATGGTGCAAGTTAACCACCTGGATAGGTGAAGCAGTGATTATTACAGCAGGTCAAGAGAGTACAGAAACCATGAGTGAATTAAAGATTTGGAAGCATGGAAAGTGATATGTAGAACACCTATTTGCTGAGTTCAGCAGCACTTAAATTAAACATTGCTTATGTGACTTTTCCTTTACAGGAAGCATAGTATTTCAATTTGTCTCTCATTGCCTGGCAGTCCTATACATATTTAACTCTTTACACCAGCCTGTGTGCCAGTTCTCTGCAGCATCCCATCTGTGTCTGTTCTTCAAAACACCCACAGATTCTCTGTTTCATGCTGCATCATCATAATACCCAGAACTGCCATCATCGAACCGGTATGATATTGAGGACAACAGCCCTCAAACATGGGACCCCACACATCATGGTCACTGCTGAACTGAATGAGATGCAGAAAGAATCACCCTGTGGTTGGGACCAGCTGCTGGCCAGATATAATGAACTTTGCTAGATCTTTGATATACAACTGAATGCCAGTGGCAAGTGACTGGTTCCTTCGGAGGTGTTTAGCCTCTCTTTCAGCGCTCTCTGTGTTGGATCCATGGCAGTTGTCATCTCTCACAGTTGCTCATTACCTGCATTTCGACAGGTTCTGCTCACTTAGGAGTCATTACACAGGGAAGAAGAAACAATAAACAAAATTGGTCAAATCAGTCAGGTCAATACAGAGGATAATAACACATTCCAGGGAACACCAACCAGCTGAGGGGAGAAAACAAAAAAAGATTCTCCTTTTTTCCTCTTTTTAAGCTCTTTTCCCTTCCATCCTTCTCCTACTACTGCAATACTTTTGATTTTTGAACTCAGAAGTAGTAGCTGCATTCTTGAAGTGATTTTTCTTCCACTGTTGGTTGTTTTCTTTGTTTCTTCTTTCTCAATTTTTGTCAAGTGTTTTTTTCCCACTCATTCATTCACTCCCTTCTAATTTGTGCAATTTGTTTGATTCTTCAATATCTCTCCTCAATATTGTATGCCCTTTTCACCTTCAAAGAATAACAATATCTATCTTACATCATTTGTTCTAAAATCTTAGACACTAAAGTGAGGGACATCTGTATAAAACCATAATTGTGTGGATATGTGTGTGATCAGGCAGATCTCTCTATTTAATTTCCATCTCAATCAAAGAAGATGCTGTGACTTCATTTCATGCTTTGTCTAAAAAAAAGGAAGATTGTCTTACTATAAACAAAAGCAATGGCAAAGCAAAGAGAAAACGACACACGCACAGAAAAAAATCTACTGAACATGTTGATGCTGTTCCTGATACTTGTATTTAAAACACACTGTTAGTGCCCCAAAATAATAAGCTAAGTGATCGTATTACTACAGTCATTTTTCTCAGTCAGGTACGTTACTAAATCTGTTACCCTGACCCTAGTTAGAGATTACATAACTAATGCTCTGTTTGTGATGGGTTAAGATCAGGAAGGGTTTTGTATCACTAAGAAGCTATGACATTGGTCCCTCAAGAAGGCAAAAAAAGAAGAAATTGTAAAAGCATAATGTATATTCTATGCCAAGAGTTAGTGAGCCATTAATTGTACTTGTGACAAATCTAATAAAAGAAACTATAACTAACAGCTATCAAGATGCTGAACAATTCACCAGCAAGTACTATCAAGATGCCAAGCAGCTCACAAATGAAATACTATCCTGAAAAGCAGCACACTGGATGACCTACATGTATTTCATGAAACAGATAAAAGGTGCTGTGATCTGGACAAACTATCTGCACTGGTGCCAACAGTTCTTCAAGATATTCAATTAATCTGTTTAGGATCAGTCACATGTTGCTTTTTGAAATGTTACAATTATTTTTTAGATACTTCTTAATTAGAAATATTTAATTGATACTGTATTGCCTCCAGAGTGCTGCTGGTAGACACAATTATAATGTAGCTAAAATGGAGAAAACAATTAAAGACTAGATCCAGAAGGGCTGAGGTCATAGCTGGACATTAAAATTAAGCTTGAATCCCCTTTTCCATGCCACCAGGTTCTCATTCCCATATTGTCTTTTCTTCTTCACTGGACTATCTATCCGTATAGCTATATTTGAAGCAGAAAGGGAAGCTTTAAATAGCCAAATTTTGGGCTGTTTGCTAGGTGGGTCTGTTCCCTACTTGGGTTCACTAAGCAGCTGCAAAAATAGAAGTATTAACACAACTATGAGAAAGCAGTGTAGGGATTCCCTAATGGTCATGGAACTGTCTTAAAAGAGAGGTAACACAGATTTGTATCCCAATCCTAGAGGGGCTGTAACATGGATGTAAATTCCTCCGTGTTTTTGAACTAGGTATATCTTTCCTCGAATCTTGTAGGACATTGATTTAATTGTTGAGCCTTGTTGGAATTTAGGTGGAAAATGAATGCTAAGTCCTTTAGCACATATCATAAACTAGAATATAGACTGCTCTTTTTACAGTGCACTCCATGCAGCAAGTGAAGGCACAGAGTAGGAAGCAAAGGAATAGACACAAGAATGAAGAGAAAGTGAGAGAGAGAAAAGGCAGAAAGGAAAATGGTACCTATCGCCTGAATGATGGTTTGCATTTTCAGACGCTGACACTTTCCTTCAGAAATCTCTCTCTCTCTTCTTTGTTATTCTGCTTCTACTGCCTACTCTCTAATAAGCCTGTAGTTGTCTCTGCCTTCATGCCCTCCACTACAAAACAATGAAATCACTACAGGCATTACCATGTTCAAGACCGGCATGGTCTCACTTTCAGAAAAATATTTAGAAAAATGAGAAAAATAGAGAGGTTTGCTTCAGAAACTTGCTCTAGGAGTTTAACATTCACATTTCACCTACAGTGAAATTATTATCTGATATGGAACATGCTCTGTAGTCCTAAAAGGAAATTTATATATTCTTTGTTATTGAGATAGAAGGAAATAGCACCATGCCTAACACTTAGAGAATAATATAGTACTTAGAGGACAATATATTAATATTCCTCCCCAACCAAAATCTAGCAAAGAGAGTCTAACAGTCAAAGCCAGCAAACGTGGAGTTTTGGGCAAATACTCTTACCGTGTTTCCAATAATTTTAAATTTTTTTTCCTGCAATCAAGGAAAACCAGTTTCATCCTATCTGCACTGTGTAATTGGTCAACTACCTCACTTTTTTTTTCTTATATTCTCTGACTGATTCAATAAATAGCGATAGCAGATATTTCATTTCGTGCATAAATTCTCTTGTTCTAGTCCAATTTGAGAAAATCCCAGGTGTTTACACAACCAAAATCCATTATCACTAACTTAGATCAATAGCTATGAAAGAGTAGTAGGGACATGGTCAAACCAAATAGCTGATGGCAGGTCCTTCAGTTAAAGTCATGAATACACTATCATAGGCATTTCAGCACTCCTGACAAGTTGTATGTCAGATAGGATCCAATAATCCTGAAAGCAAGCAAGATATGGACTCTGCATCACTGAAGCTGATGGTGCATTAGCACTATAGTCTAAATTTCCAAAATTAATTGGAAGACACCAATATGAATGCAGCAGTCAAAAGTACTTTAGGACTTTAGTCTTGACTGGTTAGATAGCCAGACCAAGTTTTAGTGACGATTTCAGGGAGAAAAATGCTTTCTTGTTAAGAAAATAATAATCTCATGAGCAGTTAGTTAGGGCAGCAGGTGTTTTTGCTGGTCTACAGAAAGGCCAAGATAGAAACTCATAACACTTTATTCACGGAGAGATAGTTACTGAGAAAGCATTCAGCTGCTGGTCTCATGAGAATATTCAGCACAAAGCACATCCTTTAAAATTAATAGGTCAGACACAATCAAACAAAACTTTTTTTTCTTTTTTTTCTGGCAGTATGTAAGGCTTCTCACAATGCTCTTATTTCTTGCATTCTGCAGTATATACTTCTTTCTTCTCTGGAAACCCCTCGCCTAAGCTATATGGTTAGCCTAATATTTTATCATTGGACATTTGTTCTAGTGTGGACTATCAGCCTTGTCCTTGGCTGTAAATGTCAATCCAAGCATTCCTGGCAACAGCTGTACAGCCAGAAAATCATTAGCAGAACTAAATTCAGCAACCTTATCTAATTGCATCACCTCAGTCAACCTTTCTGTGCCATCAGGTGAATATAATATGGTCCAAGGTTTTGAATACATTCAATTTATCTAAGCAGTCCCTAACCTGTTGCTTCTCTATCCCATGTTGTCCCCAAAACCTCCAGTTTTGCTGGTACTGAAAATTTTGCTTGTGAAAACAGAGGCAAAGAGAGACACGGAGTCATTCAGCCTTTTCTGTACCATCTGTTTTTCCTACACTCATCAATAGACCCACATTTTCCCTGAATATCCCACTGATTCTAGCATATTCTTCTGCTTACCCCTTATGTTCCTCAGTACTTTTATCTGCAGCTAGGTTTTGGTCTTTCTGATTTTGCTCCAAGTGCTCAAGCAATTCTGTTTGTATTCCTCCTTTGTTGCCTAGTTTCCACTTCTTGTGTGTTCTTGTGTTTCAGTTCATCCAGAAGCCAAGTGACTCTTCTGCCAAAACTTCTCATCTTCCTACGCAAATGAAATAGAGTTAATTTTTGAACTCTGAGTAAGTTTTCATTGAAAAACAACCATTTTGCTTATGAACTTTTTTCTTTCATGGCAGCTTCCAGCAGAAATTCTGCCTAACAATTTGAAACTTGGGCAAAGGAATTGCCAAAACAGATCAAAATCTGCTTTCCTGAAAGCCAGAGTCTCAACTCTGCTGTGTGTCTTTCCAGCTTTCCTTCAGACTCTAACCTGAGAGACATGTGAACAGCAAGTCGTGTACACCATTATAATGTCTGATTCCTCCAGCATCTGCACTGGGAAGCAGCCAATATGCAGTGCAGTAGCTTCTTGAATTGCTTGCATATTGCTGCCCTTCCAGACAGAGAATGTCTGGATGTTTAAAATCCCACACAAAGGTAAGGATGTATAGGCAGCAACTTTCTGTGCGTTTTCAGTTATCCTCATCTCCTCTTGGTCACGTGGCCTGTAGCATACCCCCAGCACAATATCCCCAATACCAGTCATCAGAAGGTCTTGATAAACACATTTCCACTTTCAAGGGAGAGCTCTCTAACACAGGGTTCATATTCTTTTCCTTATTTTCCTAGATAGGTTGTAACCATTCATGGAAGTGTCTAAATTGTGCATAGTACTGCACCCAATCTTTTTGATTTTGATCTTTCTAACAGGCTTATGGAAGTGCATAGACTTCCATAAATCATTAATAGATATATTCTTATCTATATAATAGAGAATATATAGAGTATAGAGTTTAACCAAGCTCTATATTCTAACCAAGCTCAGAATATACAGAATATAGAGCTTAACCAAGCTCTGCACACTGACGTACAGGCAGTTGAGGAAGGCCACATAATGGCTTATTTACAACTTTCCCTTCTACAAATGGCTTTGTTCTAAGTTATGCCTGTTTTCTCCCAAATATATAACAAAATAGAGCTTCCTAAGCCTTTTAGATACTTCTCTTTCTTTATGTAGCCCCACCTTTGTGCTTTGACTCCATACAGCAACATCTATCACAATGCACTTCTGATCTGCCTTTTGGTTCCACCGCAGCATAAAGTCAGGTCAAGAACCAATGGAAACCAGGTAAAACACTAAGGGATACCACATCAGTGATGTAACAGTGGTTGGCAGAAAGGAAGTAGCAGTAAATCAGAGCTCAGGCTATGTGAGCATCAAAACACACCACTATAGCACAGCTTGTTTTCTGTGCATTTCACCTTGAAGTTGTCTTTAAAATATGCCCTAAAAAATAGCAGCCACTATGTTGAGTTATACACCTGGAAAATGTATGATTTCCCAATGAAGATGAATGTTTCCTCCTATAAAAAAACAAAGGTGACAAAAAACCTTCCAAAACAAAACCACAAACAGTGAGAAATTTATTTTATATATATATATGTCTTCATAATAAGCCATTTCTTTTTAAACCTACTGACTAGTTAAACCTAAGCCTATCCCTTCTTTTTTCTGTCTGCCTAGAAAAAAGAAAAGCTAGAAGAAATATCAATTTTTAGATTTGTCTAAAGTAGAGTACCTAATAGAGCTGATTGCTAGTGACTCCTCGCTCGCAGCTTCTCAGAGAGGGTTTCAGTGGCGCGATCCCCCTTCACTAGGAGGAACAAGCCACAAGTCTCTTCTCTGGATTCCAGCAGTGAAAAGCGGTTTATTTGAAACTCCCACGGGCTTTTAAGGTCTCCAGGGGAGGGCTTAGAAAGAGGAATGCGATTGGGCAAAGGTCCGGGGGAAAGGGAGTGGTTTGAGGGCTCTGCTAACCAATGGGGGATACAGGAGGACCAAAGTTCAATAACAAACCAGGGATTGGGGAGAAGATGAGACAACCAATAATGTTTGTGCAGGGGCAGGGACCAGTTTGGGGAGGGGAGACAACATGGCACTGCACAGGGGGACCGCGTGGGTAATGGTGCTGTACAGGGAGTCTGCGTGGGTAAGAGGAATTACATAATTCAGGGGAAGACCGCACAATAAAAATGCAAGTAGTTGGTGTTTTTCCACTCCGCTCGATCCCGGAGAGCTGTCGCTGTGATGGACCCACTTTTAGAGTCATTCATAGTCTTTGCATTCCCCCACAAGTACCTTGTTATGGTCTTATTCGTAAGAGGAAAAAGGCACATAGAAAAAAAAAAGGGCAACTCTCTTTTTATATTCCTCATGAGGAAACTGAAATATGTGCACACAATGCTAGAGTTAGTCTAGTTCAAAGAGGTATGTCTCAGCTTAATAAGATCCACTTTATTTGTCAATGAAGAGACTCCTGCAGGATGTGAGTAAAAGAAATACCATAATTTGGTCTCCTGTTTCTGCTAGAAACTGCTAGCATCACTTTTGGTGCATATTAATGCAGCTCAGTACTGTCAATGAGGTGATTATTTGTTCCCTAGAGAGCTCATCTCACAGCTAGTTTTTAGGATCCCTAGGAGTTTTCATTTCATGCGGTGCAAGGTATAAATTCTATTGTACAGCTGATTCCAGCAATGCAGTCAGAGAAAAACCATCTCCAGTTGTGATTTTAGTCACTAATTTGCAAAGGTACAGAAGGACATGTAATTTTTCATTTTACAGGGTTAAATCAAATGTTTCTCATTACAACACCTATGAAGCCATTGTACATCCATAGAGGTTTCATTGCAGTTCATATAGGTGCTGTGACACTTAGTACCAACTGTAAAGATATAGTGATACTGACTTTATCAGAGCCAGAATCCCTAAGTGCAAATGTAAGCATGTTTCTCTGCTTTGGTTCCAAGTAAAAGCAATTGAAGCTAACTGATATGTGCCTAAACAAGCCCTGATCACATATAAGTATTTTTTTTAACTTTGGGCTGATTAGAGTTACTGCATTTACTGGTGGCAAGAGGGACTTAAAGGATACATCTATATTAGTACTTTAATTTAGGAGCATGCTTTGAAAGGATTAAGTACTGCACTTTGGCTCAAATCACAGAGACATCTTGGAGTACACAACCTGTATGTGATGGATGAAACTGAAAGAAGTACTCCAGCGACTCAACTCACACCCTCCAAACACAAATGGACATTCAGTCACTGGGCCAGACTACTGTTGATCTGATGTAATCCCTCTGAATTTCCTGTTGCACAGACACTAGCTCTTAGCACTGATCACATCACTTTTTCTTAAACATATGTCCTAATACAAATGTAACAACTTCAGTGCACTTCAAGTTTCTTGTGTTATAAAGAAATAATATTTCAGCCATTATTCTATTCTTTTAACCCATGCATATAATCACAGAATCACAGAATCACAGAATCACAGAATCACAGAATATGCTGAGTTGGAAGGAACCCACAAGGATCATCAGGTTCAATCCTTAGCTCTGCACAGGACATCCCCAAGAGTCACACCACGTGCCTGAGAGTATCATCCAAAAACTTCTTGAAATCTGTCAGGCTTGGTGCCATGACCACTTCACTGGGGAGCCCGTTCCAGTGCCCAAAAAGATTCTGCACCTGGAATGGGACAACCCTGGATGTTTGTACAGACTGAGGAATGAGAGGCTGGAGAGCAGTGCTGCGGAAAAGGACCTGGGGGTCCTGGTCAACAGCAAGGTGAATATGAGTCAGCAGTGCCCTGGCAGCCAGGAGGGCCAACCATGTCCTGGGGGGCATCAGGCAAAGCATCGCCAGCCAGTTGAGGGAGGGGATTCTCCTGCTCTGCTCCGCACTGGGGCGGCCTCCCCTTGAATATTGTGTGCAGTTTTGGGTGTCACGACATAAGAAAGATATTAAACTATTAGAGAGCATCCAAAAGAAGGCAACAAAGGTGGTGAAGGGCCTTGACGGGAAGCTGTGTGAGGAGTGGCTGAGGTCACTTCGTGTGTTCAGCCTGGAGGAGACTGAGGGGATACTTCCTTGCAGTCTACAATTTCCTTTTGAGGTGGAGGGGCAGACACTGATCTTTTCTCTGTGGTGACCAGTGACAGGACCCAGGAGAATGACCTGAAGTTGTGTCAGGGAGGGTTTATGTTGGATATTAGGAAAAGGTTCTTGACTCAGAGGATGGTTAGGTACTGCAACAGGCTCCCCAGGGAAGTGGTCACAGCATCTGCAGATTATAATATATTTTTAATAGTTGGATGCAGTTTACAGCAATTGAAACACTTCAATTTTAATAAAGCACATCTCATTTTTTATATTCATTTCCAGTTTAATCTCTTCAGATTCTTTTTTGTAATCATAAATTGTACAAAATAGTGCACTCAGGCCAACATGAAGATACCTCTGACATTTTTAAAGCATTTCCTCTGTCACACATGGCAGTAGTTCTTTTTGTTGATCCATGCAGTATAAACACACTGACATCCACTGAAAACCAGCAACTTGTTCAGAGTTCTGTCTGGAGTGTATGTGAAAGGCCTTCCAGTCCTGCACTGACAAACTAAGAAGGAAGCACACTTTGCTGTGCTAACAGATGCTTTAAAAGGCAGCCAAATGAGCATGTGAAGACAGTCACCCAGGATGTGAGCTCCAGACTCTCCGCTCCTCAGCAAGAGAAGTCACATGACCCTAGAGCTCCCATAATCCATTGCCATTATAACCATTATTTTTTCCTTTTAGAAAGGAAGCAAAAGGTATAGGTACTGGTTATATAAGTAGCTGATTATGTGTAATACTTTGGTCCAAATAAGCTACCTCTTAGATTAGGCAGCTACACTGCACCTATTTCCTCTGCATTTTGCTTTCTGCGTTTAATAGATCCTTGCCTGGCTAGTTTTGTCATTACATCAATTTCACAGATCCCCTTTCTTGCATAGCAAGGATGATAGGGTGGCCATTTATATAATAAGCATTTCAATAGAAGTATAATTTCTTCCAGATTTAAACTTAAGTAAACTTGTTTTATATTGTGAGGACTAAAAAAGAACTTAGCACAGATACATCTCTGT